GCATGTCTTAAGGGAAAATATCCAAGCCTATTAAATGGCTCTGGATGAAGAAATTCAAAGCGAACACCCACAAGATTAATACATGCTACGGGCAGACATTAAAAAAACACTTTCTAAGAATGACAAAAAGAAAACCCCAAGGACACAAACACCCACTAACAGCCACCATTGTATTGTCATTCTCTGTGCTTATACGCAGATCTGATGAAATTCTATTTATGGAAGAGTTGCTGATTATACAATAGCTCAGAATTGAACAGAAATTTTGATCATTACCCGGTAAAACATTTCTTCAGACATAAAAAGTTTCACTTGTAGAGATTCAACATATCACCAAAAAAAATAACAATAATGCGGCATATGAATTATCAGAACATCAACAGCTATTTAAAAATACATGTCTAGCCAAGCCTTCTGAAAATCTCCATTTTGCAGGTTGATATTTCAATAATATTTAAGTGAATCAGAAGCACATTTCCGTAGACCTTAATTAGGCCTTCTTCAGTTATTATGCATTGAACAATAATCATGTTTGAAACATTGCAAAATTTATTTTTCTCCGGTCTCTATTTGACTTTCTAACATAAGGATTCTCCTCTACAACAAGATGGTTAGAAAGATGTAATTTCATTTTCCATTCCATGCTGCATCTCACTTTACATGTACATGTATGGAGCATGATTAAAAAACGTGATAGGGTTAAGCCTCTTCACACCTGGGGAGTGTTTCACAAAGACTAAGATCAACTTTAAGTTGGACTTATATTAACTATGGCAGGCAGTTCATATCACTATTTTTTCTCATCATTTACTGCCAATACAAGGGACATATTAACCGTTGTTACAAATCTACATAATTTACATTTGTTGATAGTTCTTTATTGTAAGAAAAAATATTATATAAAGATCATAATTGAGAGATCAATAGTGAGCGCAACTAGTGGCATGAACGGCCTGCCATAGTTAAGTCCAACTTAAAGTCGATTTTAGTCTTTGTGAAACATCCCCCAGATATGGGAAACTACCTCTGAAAAATGCAGCTGGAAAAGAAAATACACATGTACATGCACCTCGCACCTTCCCATTAATGTATTCATAACAGACTGATATGCTTATAATAGAAAAACTTTTCTTTCATTTCTGTATTTTGTAGGCATTTTGCCAAGTGGTATGAACAATGCTTTTGAGAGGTAAGGAGATCTGTTCAGACAAGTTAAAAGATCTGTTTCTAGTCATAGCCTATGTCAGCTCGCACCCAAACGCCCCAAGTCCGACTGACGTATGGAGGAGGTACCCACAATGTATGAATCATAAGACTATTAACCCCATTCGTAGGTAGTGTATTTCTGTCTTGATATGAGTAATCATTCCAGTTATAGAAATACACCAACTAGACATGTGTTACCCACTAGTTTGTAAGTAAAGACCCAATGTGATATATACAACATATGTCTTTCTTAACTAGATTCAAACCTATTAAAGGCATAATTTACTACTACTACTACTACTACTACTACTACTACTACTACTACTACTACTACTACTACTACTACTACTACTACCTACTGCTACCTCTACCACAACTACTACAGGTTAATATATCACTTATCACATCAATGATGTCTCTTAAGTGCTTCATATATATATATATTATTATTATCCTGGTCAGTGAATTCAGGCTTGCCTGACACAATGTACATGTATGCACATTCTCCACTCCCTGTGGAACATTCCAGTCAGGTACAATTTTACTGACAGTCATAATGACTTTTGCATCCTATAGAGTACCCCCATTTAATACCTTGGTGGGGAGTGGGGTGGGATTCGAACCCTCATTCCCTAGATTGAAAGTCAGGTGAATGAACTACACATGTACACTGTACATGTACCATGACACATCCACTTTCCGAAGGATACTGCAAAATGGATACAGAAAAATCCTGATTTATTTTAGTCCCTGCCTGGCAGCAGGCAGCATACAAGGCTGGCATGACTTCAAGGTAATTTGCAATACCGGATATAGTTACGTATCTAAATTAAAATCATAAATCTCTAATGACATTACTGCTTATTCACAACTTGGCATAATGAGTACACCCTGAAAATGAAAATGAAATACATAGAGTTTCTCCTGGAAAAGCTTCTGTGGGCCAACATGTTAATCAAATACAAGACCAATCAATTTGTGTACTATGTGCATGCTTTATGTAATCTAGTATGGAATGAATATTTAATGGTATTTCCATACAATAATACTGCAACCCTGTAACTTTGTTCAGGAAGAGGAACACTTGGTAGTTATCTAGTGGTTGTTTTTGGCATGTATATGTATCTTTTTATGTCCTCTCCTGCTTCTGATTATAATGGTTATCCTGAATATAATGTTTAGTTCTTATCTGGCAGTAAAAAGGAAATTTTAATTAAACTTGTTGGATACAGTTCAGTATATATTCTCATCCTGTTTTGTTTGTAACAGACAGGCTGATGTCCCATCCATGATTTCAGATTTTAGTTTCAATACTACATTGTATGAAGAACTTCAAATCAAGAATGCAGAGATTCAAATGTCAAATTAAATGTGGGGGAGTATAAGTATATACCATTGAGAAATTAAATGTCATTCATTCATTCGCATTGCTTCGAGCTGTAGATATTTTAAAACGCAACTGAAAGTTCAAAATAAAGTATGTCACATCCTACCCAGTTACACACTACCTGTTTTTTTTTAAATAACACCCCCGCCTGTCACTCTCTCCTCTACTTGCACTTGCCTTGAACTTATGCTTGCATCTTTAAATAAACATTATTATATTATGCAGGTCTATTAAAGAGGTGGGGAAATAAAAATTACTAATATTAGAACACAATCGCAACTACTTTTAAGAAAATCAACCCAAGGCAATTTCCATAGCCTTGTGTGTCCCCTGCAGGCTTGACACTCACAGTTAAGCGCCAAATATCTACGTCTGGACCCCTAAATTTCAGAATTTCTACATAGGCCTCAATGCATATACATGTAGACAAAAATTTTAGTCCAGTAACCCACTACAAAGGTTTGTATGTAGCCCTGCCTATTGAAATGTGCGAACATGACAATGATGTGCTACGTAATCCTAACATGATTTCAACAGGATATACAACAGGGGATTGAAATTTCCCTTGAGATTTTTATTTTTGTTAACAGTTGTAATCGTGTTCTAGACACTAATACAGGGCTGTCGTTTAAAGCCGGTAACCGGTAAAACTTGCCGCCTATTCACTCGTTTCTTACCGGCTATAATTCCTATAATAAACCTTGCAAAAATCACAGAAAGTAGATCTAAATCAATGCTAATCCAAAATTTCCTTAATTTCGTCCAAGATATAATTAGTGCCACACATACACGGCCGCAGTCGACGAAATCCCTTACGATCACGAACGCGACGTCGTCCGTACTTACCTAGACCTATCAATCTAACGTTACATCGCAGTTCTCCCGCCACAGCGCGGCGGCCAAGCCCGCCCGTCCCTACCCCATTGCGATCCCGATGTGCACGCGAGAGGATGATGCACTGCACAAAATATATACACACTGATCATAACAAAACTGAAGCTAGCTCGAAGTAACCAAACTATCCGTTGCCGATTTGATATTTAAAGATCACGGAAACCGGGGCCTATACACGTGCGTGCAATGTATAGAGACAACGTACTTTAGATTCTGAGATGCGCAAATCGGCAACAGAGTTTTGAACTCGGCTGAGTTTAGGCCGGCCACGGCCGTCCCCGGCGGACCCCCGCAGCTAGCTCGCATGATATAGGCCTATGCAGGCTCGCGCTCCGCGAATACTCAAAAGTAAATTCTTAAATGTATTCAATAATTTCATGTCAAAAAAAAATAATTAAATGAGAATTCATATGGGGAGCCAAATAAAAGTCACAAGTAAAAAAAAAAATCAAAATCTAGCCTCTGCTGCCCATTATTTAAATACTGTACATGTATTCAACAAATCATGATGTAGAAAGATTGAGTATGGTGCATCATCTCAGTTTAATTAAAAATTACAAAGTAATGGTACAAAGTGATAAATAATTATCAACTTAATAACTTTTCTATGAGTTATGATTGTTCATGTAATATTAAACATGAACAATATGTGTGTTTATTTATATGTGTAATACAAGGTAGGAAAGATAACTACAAATTTTCTTCTTAGGTATGCACCAGATTGCACGATTTCAAGTGGAAAATCCCAAAAGGTCCCTAGTCCTGAGTTTTTACTCAGACATTCCCTGACAAGCAAGCAACGAAAAAAGAAGACAAAACAAAACTGGGGGGATATCAAATTATGTGCTTACATTATCTTACATGCGCACATGCTAACCAACTTCAAAATGCATTTAAGGACTCTATGGATGAATATTTGCAGTTTGAAATCGATATAGACTGGTATTGAATTGTTCATGCAATTTGAAATTCTAAATACAGCCTTCAAGCATGCGTGAAATCAATCAGTCTATAAGAGCTTTGAGAAAGACACATTTAAGTATGGAAGATAATTAGTTATAGTTATCTATATCATATTGGAACAGGAAATATGTTGAAAGATCTAGATCACTAGCTCTCCTAAACTTCATTTCCTCTATAACGCCTTTGGCCATTCGCTTCTCTGGCTCACACATCGTTTAATTGCAATTGGCTTCAAATGAGGTTTGGGTTCATCACCAACCAAGGTTGAAATATTCTCTGATCATGATATAGAGCATGGGATGACATTCAGGAAATAATGGCATGACTATAATATCCAAAGAGTTTGGTTCAAATTGCTCCGAAATTATCATAACCCGAAGCTTAAAGACATTGTGTGCACCATCTCCACTTCATCATCTGGTTGATGAAATAACTCCTCGCTAGGTCCCAATGAAAGAAACATGCATAATTTTGAATATGTTAGTAAACCGGGCTATTTACAAACTCCCTTTTTTTAAAGGTACGATCAAGAGATGTTTCCACTTCTTACCTTTTACACTCTTTGGATAGGAACTCTGGCAGATGGTATTTACAATCCATGATCATCGTCAATGTCTCACTGTCGTTGGTTTCGTTAAAAGGGGGTTCCCCACATACCAGCATATAGAGAAGGACACCCAGGCTCCATATATCTGAATAGTTAATGAAAGATATGAAAAAACATTAAATCACAATCCACGATCATTGTCAATGTCTCACTGTTGTTGTTTTCATGGAAAGGGGGTTCCCCGCATACCAACATAATTAGAGAGAAGGACACCCAGGCTCCATCTCTCTGAATAGTTAATGAATGAAAAAAATATTCAAATACAGTATTAGCATATGAGATATAAAGTAAGAGTGTACATTTGAATCTCATGAGGGCCAGAAGGATGTTACACCTGTATTTAATGCACTTCTGGCTCTCAGCAGACAATATGGAATTAATCGAATTTCAAAATACAGCTAAATATTTTAGTTAAGAAGTTTCAATAAAAACTAACACACAAATAATAAGTGATTATCCGATTGATTGTTGACATTGATTTATTGGGGCTCATAACGGTTTATTTTCTGTCTTTGTTTCTTTGTTGGTTAGTTTGTTTGTTTATTCATTTGTTTGTTTTAGTACCACAGCATCTAAATGTATGTACATACATGTAGGTGAAGGAAAATGGGCTCAGATTAAATGAGGAAAAAATGAAGCATAAAGTACACAATAAAATGGTGTTTATACATAATCATTATTCGTTACCATTAAACCTGTATGCTGAATATGAGACGGGTTATTAAAACTGCATCATTTTCAATTTTCACACGGTTCTCTGCTTCTCAAAATGAGCCACCCTTGCAGACAATTAATTAGTTGTCATATTAAAACACTAGAGTGTGTGGTATCCAGGCTCATATAGAGCCTGTAGCAACCCACAGGCCTTTTCTCGACCTGTTCATTTCTTATTTAGGACACATATGAAACCGGAAATTGGCTAAATTTCACTATCTATACCTCTCTCTTTCCTTCTCCATCTCTCTCTCTCTTTCTCTCTCTCTTTCTTTCTCTCTCTCTCTCTCTCTCTCTCTCTCCATGTATCTTACATATTCTCCCTCTATGTTTTCATTATCTTCTTTTCTGTTGGTTGATACAAGTCTACACCCTTCCAACTCTAAGCAGACAATTTATAATGTAACCCTGTATAAAAGACAACTTCATATACATGTAAATGTACAGTACATCCAAGACATGCTCCCAATGGTATACATCTCCATTCAGTCTTGGCTTAAAGATGTAGTATAGTATGCCGACGGCCATCTTGAAAAATAGCTCGACTGTCAGGGAAAATGTACCGAGCGGCCATTTTGAAGAAAAAAAAAAGGGCCTCCTCCTTCCTATTTTTCAAAAAGGCTGGACGCTAAACATGTTTTAAATTTTATTTGGCCTAGTATACTATTATCTTCAAGTTAATATGCTTTTTGTAGGAAAACCTTAAAGGAAAGGATGAGAGAAATATAAGAGACAGCAAGTGGGAGATACTAGTCAAATAAAATGATAAAAGCATTATATAAAATGGGAAAGCATCTTTTAGATTAGAAGGGATTAAAGACGAGAGAAAGTAATCCATTGACATGTAGGCTAAGCACATACTTCAGATAGAAGAAATACGAAGCCGAGAGGGGTACGTGGCGGGGGATAAACTCCACAAACATGCATGCTGTTTTGAATTGGCATGTAAAGAAGTAGAGAGCCAGATACATATACGTAGAAAGCAGACATTTGTGAACAATAAAACGTCCAATAATAAAGATAGCGAATGGAGAAGGTCTCAATAGATATGATTCTAGAACCCTTGGTGATTCTGGACTGACGTCAGAACTTCATCCAGGTTTCAGCTCTTTTCTTTGTCAAGACGTCCTTCACAATTCTTCCCTCATGAACCTGCTACATTTATGAAATTTGGAATATATAGGCCAGTTCATAATGGACATCCATAGATGTAGATGATTACCACTTGCACAGACCTTTATTCATGTATGTGCTGTGTGTGTAGCTTAGTCCCCATTGGCAGGATCCATAATGCAATAAAATGCCAACTACCCTTGTGAATTACAAGTTTGTATAATATTCATATTCATCATCAAATGAAATAATATGACCTTGAACTATCCTATATTTCATATTTTTTCATACACTTGGTGATCATTAATTGTGTAAAAGGGGGAAACAGATATCATACTGTCAAACAGGCAAGCACAACAGAATCATTTAAAACTCTGTTGAAGACCTATCTTTTTGTAAATTGTTAATTTTGTTCCAGCTGTTTAGTGACTTCTTTGGTTATAGTATCATGTACATATTTAATATTTAATTTATTTTTCATTTAATTGTCATGTTTTTTCATGTTTAAATTTGTATTACCTGAATTTACAATGTATTACATGTAAGCTATGTAGGAATTGTGTATCATTATTGTTGTTTGTAATTAATTATTTTCATGTATCAGGCATAAATGTTCATTTTTATTCCGCCCTTTTCCTTCTTTTCTAAGCGCATAGGGACTTTCTTTATGTGAGTGATATGCGCCATACAAATAACGTTCATTATTATTATTATTATTATTATAAGGACTGTTACATACACGAATGTACTGTAGCTACTAAGACCTAATGTCGTCCTAGTGTATTGATGCATTGATGTATTTTGTCAGCAAATAATGCATTCAAATTTCAAACTCTATAATAATTATATTGTACAACAAAATATATTTAGTTTTGTAATTATCATAGGAGAATATATAAAATTGAGAAAACTTGTAACATAGCCTCAGAAGCATGATAAGACTGTAATTCCCTAAACTGAGTCTACTGATGAAACCAAGAAAATATAAATTTGAAAGATTTTTAGGAGATTAAAAAATTAAATGTGCATATCATCTGCCTTCAAAGGTTCTACAGGTAATGACTCTCGTCAAAAAAAGGGGGCAAAAAGGGGGCATAAACACTAGACAAACAACATGGTATAAAGAAACTGGTTTTGAAGAGGTCAGTTTACATGACAGCTAGGTGATCATCACTGCACACTTACAATGAGCCTTGCCCAGTAATACCTTTTTCATACGATTCAATGTTCACACTAGACTGGCACCCTGATTATTTATCAAGATTTGATTCGAAAAGATGCTCAAACATGCTGTTTGCTAAACTATCTGTCATTATATGACGTTTACAATATTCAGACTAAAATATATATTAATTGCTTATTATACAGTTACATGTATATGATTTTTGTATCTAGCCGTACAATGGATTTTAGGTAGTCTGAATGAAGGAGATGAAGCACAGTACAGTCAACTTTCTCCAGATGATTCAAGTTATTGCCTTCCTAAGTCCGATGACATTTCATTGTGAGATAAAAAGAAGTGCTCTAGCTGTAACAGCTTATTTATGCATCAAAACACATGATTAGTTTACCAGACAATCACTGGGACAGAGCATCTGCCATCGTATGAATATTTATGACAAAATTATGTGAAATCTCTCATTTACTGCAGAAGTTAAGCCTTAAAATGTCATTAAATGATGTCACCTCTTCACACCATTTTAGAGAATGGTAACATACAGTATATTCAGGGCATGAAAATCTGTCTTTGTTTTGATCCATGCGTTTTGAAGATTGATTGATGCAGATGAAAGTGATAATGGGTGATGATAATTTTGTTCCCTAGAAGTGTAAAACAACCTTAGTTATTAATATATGGCAGAGTTTGACAATTGTGTTTTTAAAAAGTAAAGGAAATGCTCTCAGACCCATCTTACATGTATATCCTCTGAATCATGTGATCTCCCTTTCACGTTTGTCAAACAATAACAATCAATTTGAACTTTCAATCCTGCTACTTACATGTACATTTTATCAAGGCTTAAAGGTAAAGACCAGTTATGGTCATGCGATTGCATTGTGAAAGAAACGTTGTGGAATCGATCAGAAAAGGTTGATCATCTAGCATCTAGCATCTGCAAGGTTCTGGAATCGTCAAAATGATAAGAAATTTGGCCCATTCTTCGTAAAGTTACAAGCACTATACACAGAAAGATGTATATGGGACTACCCTATATCTCTCACAGACCATGAGAGAAACAAATTTACCAAATATATGAATTAGTAGGTGGTTTCCCGGCAAATTTTTTATCATCATGTATTAGTCAAAACATATTCTTTCACATGATTGGTAATGAGAGCTTCCATTTCATTTTTTGAAATTGGGGCGTTTCCAATACTGGTCTTTACCTTTAAAAGAATCATTTTGATGTTGTGTGTGGAGGTGTTGTGGTATAGTGGTTCATTCACTTGACTGTTAATCCAAGGGTTAAGGGTTCTAATCCTAGCTGGTACTGACATCATTTATCATTCTCCATTCGGGTGTTAAATGGGGATCCTGTAGCATGCAAAAGTCGATATAGTTTGCTCAGCACTGTGAGTGTATGTAATATGGCGTCTGGCTGGAAAACACTCCCCAGGGAGAGGAGAATGCACATATTGTGTGTGGGCAAGCCTGTTGGTTATAAAATATCTGTCAAGCGCTCAGAGACACTGTTGATATATTAAGCGCTATATAAACCCAGATCATTATTATTATCATCATTATCATTACGGAGTCTATTTCGAAGTATGATTTTATTCACATTTCATATACCAATATTACCTATATTATATTATAGTACCGCATTGATTGTGCTTAGGAGGTTGTTTTAAGTTTTTATTAAACAAAATTATTTAGCAATGATCTATAACAGTAAGAATGAGACTACATGCATGATATTAAATACGGTATTGTTGATCCATGCCAAATTACTAATGTTTTTTTCAGAAGAGCTACTGTACATGACCTGTTGAATGTATGAGTTCACATCAGATAGCAGACCTTTTGTATTATAATATAAAAGTGTACCAATATATTTCATCAAAGAGCTTCGCAAGCCATTTCTCATCTCAGCTACCCAAGTGTTTTTAACTCTAACTAAAATCTAGTAGTTACATCCAACTCGATCTCCTACATGTCAAGACTTCTGAATGTTTGTTCCTAACACATGTACATGTTGTGCATGTAACTCGGCACAAATAGCGTGAATACTACTGTGTACTTTGTGGTACATG